TTTGTGCAGCTCAGTGCACAAGACATATGTACAGTATTGTAAGTTTTAAAAGAGAACTATGGCCCAATCTTTTTTTGCCATAGTTCTTGTTAGGGTCACAGGAGGACATTTACTTGAGGCAGAGCCATCTGTGCCTGCCCCCTCCCCATCCTTCCTCCAGTCAGTGCTGGAGGAAAAGAGAGAGGGGGAGGGGGAATCTCTGCTGGTAGCGGTGAATGCCAGTCAACTCTCTCTGCAGGGAGAAGATCAGGAACTCAGCGATCAGCGTTATGTGATTGCTCGGTTCCCGATCAATAGAGCTAGCATGTTAAAGCTTCAGTGTTACAGGGAGAGTGAAATACACTCATCCTCATAATTCTCCTTTAACATAAGTTTTATTTGTGTATACATTCATTCCTTTGTCATACATTTGTCATTCATCCCAACTGTCCCTCATTTGGAACCAATCCCTCTGTCCCTGTTTCCTCCTCAGTTGTCCCTATTTTTAGACAGATATGTAGACCTCCATAATAAAATCAATACATGACAACCAAAAGTTATACTACACTAACTTTTTTGCTTATAAATGTTTCTTGATCCACAAAATTGAGGGTGTGTCCTTTGCCTCTACACTTTGTGCTAAAGGGTTTCCTTCTTTCCAGTTTCAGAAAGTTGGGAGGTATGCCTTGGGGAACTGCCAGTAAGCATGTTTGTACTTCCGTTTATGTGCATTTACATGTAACAACATTACTTGCATTTACATCTGTTAACATGTGTTTCCTTCAAAACAATCTGATCAGAAATGTTGTTCTTACAATGCAGGTAAATATTTTGCAAGCAGAATGTAATTATCAACTATATGTTAGGTAAAGCAATCTGACAAATAGGTAAATATTTTTTTATTGTTTTACTTAGTGTTCATAAAGTTTTGCAAATCTGATGAATCAATCATATGAACTGTACCATTCATTAACATCACACATTTCAAGTACCCAGCACATTAGCACAGGTATGTCAATAAGGGTACAGTCTCCAGATGGTTTCTCCTGAAATACAGGTAGCTACTAGAATAAATGTTTACAAATTTGTATGTAACCAATATGCAAAGAAATAGTAACAAAATTACAATGAATTGCTTTCTAGCACAGTTTATAATAACTCAAAATGTGTATTCACTGGAACTGCATTATGGTTTCCCCTTGAACACCAGTGGTTGACAGTGCCATTAACACCTTGCCCAGTATAGAACAGATGTACTGCATGCTGCAGTTTCAGTTTGTTTTATGAATGCACTTGGAATATATGAAAAATGTTTTGCTCTCATGTATTCAAGCACACTGTTAGGAGGTTGGCTATTACTGAATTTCTGGAATTTGACAGTTGACCGACAGGAGGTGGGGCTTAGTTGCTGGGAGGGGGTGGGGTTTGATCTAGACTTAAAATTGAACTAAAATCTGCATTGTGTTGGGTGGGCTTTTGCCATAATGTGCATACTTGCCTCCCAAAGTGCCCATTCAGTGCAAAGTACATGATCTCCTTGTCCTTCCATTGCCACCAATAACATATTCACCTGGTCCTCTTCTTTGGCCATGTTGATTTTCCAGCCTGGGATGATGTAACTTCTGCGTTACATCATCCCAGGGAGCTCATCGCAAAGCCTAAGGCATGTCAAACATGTACACGTGTAGGAAGAAATAAAAACATTCTAGCGAATAAAGCAGAAGCTTTTTTCTTTCCCTTTATCTTAGTGGCAAGGTAAATTCTAACCACATTCACTGAACTAAGGGAAAATTAGTGCAACATCCTTTGCAAGATGAACAGTCTATCTGCCTTTAGTATATAAACCCCACAGATTTTATTTAGCAATAAAAAAACCTGCCTGCTAGCATTGCTTTAAAAAACCCTTTATTTTCACTTTAACATGGCCATACACATTACAGTCAGTTTGTCTGTAAAATTTCCGTTAGACTGACCAAAACCAAATAATGTAAGCACATTCCTAATCAATCTATTCAGTATGTAACTATTCAGACAGGTCCCTGAACTACATACTTTATGACTGATATAAAGATGATTGTACATCCAAATTGTAACATGTATGGTGAGGTTTAGAGAAGAGATGAGCCCATGTAAGCAGCCTGAAGTAAGAGCCTGAGATCCTCAACAAACACAAAGAAGCACATGTCAAGCCAAACATACTTGTATGTCCTGGCAAGCACCACAGGGTGCTTTTACTTCTCCTCTCATCCACTTTTGATGGATTTGACAGGTTTGCTTTAATGGCTGTCAGTAAGTGATATGATTCACTTTCCCTCTGGTGATGTGTTCAAATCTTTACCAAAATATTAAAATTACTTAAGGTTTAACAGTGACAAGAGAAGACTAGAACAACATTGTCCAGTCCCTCTTAAAATGAATAAAAGGAACGTCACATTTCTAGTGTTATCAGTAGCACTGATAACTGATTTGTACAGTTATTCAATAACTGTACAAATTATGATAAATCAGACAGACTTTGAAAACACCTAATACTTCACTATCTAATGGGAACAGCCAAAGGCTAAAGACCTATAAACAGTAAGGGGTAAATTATGTATTGAAGGCTTACAACACACAAGTAGATACCCAATCATAATAATATACATTTTTTAATATTTTAAGCATAGCTAAGGTAAACACATTACACATCCAACAGGAATAAGAGAATGATGAATGAGATGAAAGACCTGGCCTGCCCACAAACACAACGTGGCAACAGTTTGCTGAACTAGTGTGCAATGTCTACAGGAAAGGTCAAACCACAAGCAATACAAGAGGGGTTTATGGCTATGCTTCTATTTACCTACTATATAGTGTCATCACATTTCATCATTTACACTATCAGCAGAGAAATGGAAAAGCTTCATATTTCGTTAGATGGTTAAATGCTCCACTTTTGCCTTTTTGGATGAAAATACTTTGATAAATTACACTGCAAACTGCAGAATCAGCTTCCCAAACAGCTGCATCCTGTTGGAAGTAAGCAAGTGAATGTGAAAAGATGTTCTGTATTGAGTAGAGGTATCCAACAGACTGAGCCATACTGCCTTTACCATTCAGCTAAGAAAATTCATTTACCAGGAAATCATTCCCCTAGTTCTATACAAATGACAAGACATCGTTTAGTACATAATGCCTACAGTAAGTTTCTAACACAAAGGGATAGTCATT